AATCCAAAAGAAGAAAAAAGAAAACAGGATCATGTAGGCAGCCTCTGGGGCAACTTCAAACATTCTATCATTGCATCATAGAGGTGTCAGAAGGAGAATAGAAAGAGCAAGAAATTGGAAATCTATTTGAGAAAATAATGAAAGAAAACTTCCCTAATTTGCTGAAGAAAATAGACATACAAGTCCAGGAAGCTCAGAGAGTCCCAAACAACATGGATGCAAAGAGGCCCACTCCAAGACATATCATAATTAAAATGTCAAAGGTTAAAGATAAAGAGAGAATCTTAAAAGCAGCAACAGAAAAGAAGTTAGTTACCTACAGGGAAGTTCCCATAAGACTGTAGCTGATTTCTCAAAAGAAACTTTGCAAGCTAGAAGGGTTTGGCAAGAAATATTCAGAATCATGAAATGTGGGGACCTACAGCCAAGATTGCTCTACTCAGCAAAGCTATGATTTAGAATTAAAGAGATAAAGAGCTACCAAGACAAGAAAAGACTAAGGGAGTTCATCATCACCAAACCATTATTATAGAAAACATTAAAGGGACTTTAATTTAAGAAAAAGAAGATCAAAACTATGAACAATTAAATGGCAATAAATACATATCTATCAACAATTGAATCTAAAAAACAAACCAAGCAAACAAGAAGAACAGAGAGAGAATCATGGATATGGAGAGGGTTTTGATGGTTGCCAGATGGAAGGGTTGTGGGGAGAATGGGTGAAGAGGTGAGGGGATTAAAAAGTACAAATATGTAGTTACAGAATAGCCATGGGGATGTAAAATACAATATAGCAAATGGAGTAGCTAAAGAACTCGTAGGCATGACTCATGGACATGAACAATGGTGTGGGGATTGCCTGAGGAAGTTTGGGGTGCTGGGTTGAGGGGGACAAAGGGGGAAAATTGGGACAACTGTAATAGCATAATCAATAAAATATAATTAAAAGAAAAAATAAATAAAAATCAATGCTAGGGAAAGCCCAGCTATTGCTTCTTGACAATTGCTTGAAACAAAGTTGGTAAGCCAAAGTAAATATGGTAATTAGAGAACAGGGGCATAATAATACACGTAGCACACACTGTCAACCTTCGTGTTTAAAACCAGGGCAACTAATAAAATAAACATAAAAGATAAAAGTGGAATCTTACCTAAAGAAAAGATTTAGAGAAAGGTGTGGTATGTGTTTGTATGTGTGTGTGAGTACAGAACACACACTATTTTTATCTATTTAAAATTTATCAGCTAACAAATAACTTGTTCTGGAAGGTCACTGTAAATGAAAACAGCTTCATATGTCCATTTTTGAAATGAAAATTGGCATAATATCTGTTACTTCAAAGATATAAAAATTATTTAAAACTTATTTTTGGTTAAAATTACTTTAATTATCGCCACTTGTCTTTTGGTGATTTGTCTCACAATCTATTAACAGGTATCCAAAAAATAAAAAGTAAAAACCTCTGAACAGATCCTACTGACTTGGATAGAGGCAAGAAGCTGATGGACCATCTGCTTGATGACAGGTAGCAAAGTGTGTTGTTCCATTTCAACCCATGTAAGGTTTTTGAGTGTGAAGGAGTCAGTCCTTAAAGGTTGTACTTTAAAAAACTTGGTAAGAATATAGGAAATTCATAAACATTAATATGCATTTGTTTTAACTGGGATATGCTGACCGGAGGAACAAAGAGTGGCTAAAGTTAGCAGAGCCTTCTCTCCATATAGTCTCACTTGATTTGTACCTCATTCTCCAAACAGGAAGCTCTTTTCTTGTTACTCTTAGAAGCAAGAAACTTTTTTCCTTTTCTGACTCAATGAGTAAGAATAATTATATAAACAACAAACATTGGAATTTTTCTTTTCATTATTTAACTTCAGGCATTTTTGGCATAATTCTTTAAAAACTAATTTGGAAAGATAATATATACTCTAGTTCTTGTTAGCCAGCCATCTGACCCTGGTTTTTAAACTAGGGAAGGAAACTTGAAGAAGGCCCAGTGTTTTGCATCTGTGCCCCTAATTCTTTTCTGAAGTGTTCCTCACTAACCAAGGCTAGCTCTTCTACTGATCATGCCCTTGCTTTGAGGCACAGGCTAATTCTTCAACTGTCTACTGCACAAGATCAGGAGCCCACTCATTCACAGAGGCTACGATGTGAAGACACCCTCGCTGTGCACCAGGTGCCTCACCTACCTTACGCAGGGAGTCCCTGCTTGGTCTCTGGATTCTGCCCTGGAGGTCCCTGTTGTATTATTTTCTGGTCTGTAACATCAGCTTCTTTCTCTCCATGAACTCTACCTGCTATGTTGACAAACCTGCATACATTTCATTCATTAAAATACTATTATAATACCCCAAATGAAGCTAAACAAATAAACAGCCCAACCCTAAAACTCCTCCAAACAACAGCCTGTCTCTCCCTCTCCTCACAAAAGGCACAAAGACTTGCCCACATCTTTGTCCTCAGTAATAACAATGAATTCATGGGGTCTCTCAGTTTGCTCTGGATTGTCTCATAGCCTCTTTGCTGCTCTCAGCACCCTTACACTTCCGTTAATCTTTCCTTCTGCATAGTTGCCACCTCTTTTATAAAATACAAATCAACAGATCATTTTCTTGTGTACCCCTGTCATCACTCTTCATCATCTTCAAGAGAAAATGTAAACTCCTTAATATGGGGTACATGATCAGACCTATTTAGGTTAGCGTCTTACACCACCCTTAGCCTCTTCTCCATTCCGACCTCCAGATGTTCTGAACCCACTGCTGCACCGCGCTGTCCTCTGAGTTGTCCTCACTGCCCTGTGTGTCCTTGCATGTGTGGGGTTTTTCCCAAGATAGGAAGCAGCCTTATCTTGATTTCCCTGCCCAGTACACTTCTACTTAACCTCCTATCCTTACTTCAGAAGTCCCTCTCCTTCTGAAACCTTCTCTGACCCTAATCTCCCCACACGGTCTCTGCCTTATCTCTGTCCTCCCACAGCAGCCTGTGGACAATAGTTGAAGCTCCTTAAGAAGAGAACCTGAGTCTTATTTATGACTTTCTCACCAGCCCATTTCACAGTGCCTGGTACATAGTAGGCGCTTAGTAAATGTGTATTTAATGATAATTACTGCATTTCTATTCACCTGCTCTCTGTCCCTGTAAACACAGGACTTCTCTCCTTCTCTGAATCTCCAGCAACCAGCAAGTAAGTGCCACATAACTAGATCTCAATAAAAATGAGCAACTGTTGAAGGAACCAGCAATATAACCACTTCCAAACCCTCGCTCTCCTAATAGCTCTGCATGCTGATTGAAGGTTATTTTTTCTAATATACCAACTTAACATGGTTCCCATCACGGATTCCTCCCCAGATGAAACTCTCACTGGCATCCTATTGCCTGGAGGCTGAAGCCAGGTTTCCTTATCTCAGTTTTTTGCTCTTTTTTGCTCTTTTTTGATCTTCACAGACTCTCTTCTCTTCTCCCTTCATGTCTCAGTTCAGGCCTTCTCTGCCTCCTCAAACTAAACTACTTGTCTTTGAGTCAGTCTATTGCATGAACTTGCTTTAGTTTCTCAATGCCCCATTGATCAGAGTTAAAATGACCTTTTTCATGGGCCTTTTTCTATTGTTTCTAAATGTCTTCCTACTACCTCCTTCACCAGAATGTAAGGGCCATGAACACAAGGTCCTGGCTGGCTTTGCTGAGTGTGGCATCCTGTCTAAAGAGCTTCCTGGAACCAGAGGGTAAGCGCTGAACACTTGTTCCGTGAAGACTGAATATTTTCCAGCTCGCATTCAAGGTCCTTGATGGCCTGGCCTCACTTTTCTTTCCCAGCCTGTCTCTAGATAATTCCTTATGTGACACCTGTCCAATATTTCCCAAACACCCACTGTGCCTCCTAACTAGGCCTACTTATGCGAGCCTTGTCTTCCTTTTCTTCTAATTTAAATTATCTTCATCTTTTAAATCCTACCAAAACTCCATCTCTTCTATAAGGCAATCCAAAGTGGTAAGCTTTTAAACTGTATTATTTACCTATTTAATATCTTAAATATCTTTCAATTCTTTACAGCCCTCTGTCTTTTAATGAAATTTTTAAGTTTCAGAAATAGGTTTTAAGTTATAAACAATAAAAAAATTCTTAAAACAGAGAATTCTTTGTTATGAATAAATAAGATTCAGACTCCATTTTATTCATTCTTTAAAAATTGCATGACTTTTTCTTCAAGTATACCAAAGAAGTTTGTTTTGTGCAACATAATGGTTAAAAGACAACATTCAAAATTTGTTATTAAGGTTAAATTTGTTATTATTAGTTATAATAAATAATGTGTTATAACACATTATTTGTTTGTTATATTATTTATTATAACAAATAATATAACAAATTAGTTATTATTAGTTATAACAAATAATTTGTTATTTGTTGGTTCTAGTAACAACACTGATGTCCACTCTAACTGCATATTATGTTGGCCACTGACCATACTATGAAAAGGCATAACTCTTCCAACTTTTAACTGAGAGTCTAGCATGTTCTGATTGATCATATAATTTATTTTTTTTAAGATTTTATTTATTTATTTTTAGAGAGAGTGGAAGGGAGGGAGAAAGAGAGAGAAACATTGATGGCAAGACAAACATTGATCGGTTGCCCTTTGCATGCCCCCAGCTGGGAACCCAGCCCACAACCCAGGCATGTGCCCTGAAAGGGAAAGGAACTGACAACCGCTCGGTTTGTGGAATGATGCTCAATCCACTGAGCCATACCAGTCAGGGCCATAATTTGTTTTAATATAGAAATAAAATACAACAAACAAGGAATGCTTCTCTGATAAGAACTATTAGTCAGAATGTTCTCAAAACCCAGAGTGAATTTTAAATAGTTTTACTGATCAGCATCATGTTGAACTTAATAGTATTAAATACAAACATATCTATACCTATGGGCCTAGATATCAGAACAAGAATGTAATATATAATGTGTAAACAAAGCAAACATTCCAACCTGGATGCCAACTTGGCCCCACAAGTGTCCTCTGCTGAATTCATGTCATCCCAGCAGGGTTTTCTGTGACTTAGCCGCAGGCTGACCTGAGGGACACCATCAGATAGCTCTGGTTGCGGTACCCTGTAGACCTGAATAGATCCCTCACTCTTGGACTTTGGGATCTAAAAAATAAAATTTAAAGAAACGAGAGAGAGAGAGGAATGAAAAAAAATCCTTCAAATTGAATTACTGAAGATAATTTATTTTAACTTACTAATAATCTAATGTATTAACTCTAAAAATATCAACCTAGGTATGGATTTTAAAATACATACAAAAATTCTTATATAGCAAAGAGCACAGTGAAGGGGAGATACCAATATTTCCAAGGGGAACTTTCAACTATATGTGGCTTATACCCCTCTCCTGGATCCTCAGGCCTAACATTCCTTAGAATAATTATTCTATGTAATGAGAGGTTATGAGAGTATATCAGATTGCAACCTGGAGTGAAAGAAATAAAAAACAGAAAGAGGCAGAAAAAAAGACTGAGAACCACTTAGTAAAGAATGCCAGTGTCAGAAAGGTGTCTAGAAATATTTTCTACCAACAAGCAAATTACACATCAGTTTGTTAATAATTTCTATTGTAATTCTCTTTGTAGAGCAAATTATGATGTAACAATTTTTAGTTAAGGAAATAAATAGGAAAAACACAACGCTTTTAGTTCTCTTATGTCTCTGAAATCATGGGCAACACAAGTGCCAACTATTGGGAGTATTAACATCTCATATCTGAGGTTAAATGCTCCCTCCAACACCAGAAATACCCTCATGCTCTCTTATTTTATACCATAAGGAATGTGAATACAATCAATATTCTTTTTCTAAAAATGTGTATAAATCACGTCAGAATTGTAGCAAGATTTCAAACACCCGGATCAACTCATGTCTAGGATGCTGGCCTTTCCCCCTGGGAATGTCACCAGTTCCTCACTGGCCGCTCATCGATTGTGTAAGAGTGAACCAAACCCTAATGTTCTCTGAAGGTGAGATAAGCGTTCACTACCCACAGAGCTTCTCCATCTAACCGCATGTCTTAATGAGCTTTCCCAACTTTGAATTCCTGTAACACAATTTACATTTGATTACATGCCATCTGATACCTTAATCTTTGTTCATAATCATGCTAACTTTCTAGATTCTATGACTTTAACTAGATCTCTGGAGATAGAAACAGTCTCATCTTCTTATTTCTCTTCTTCCATCCCTTCTCTTTTTTCCTCTTCTTTATGTTATTATTTTTAACATTTTTACCATCAACTCTAACACTATTTCGAACCCATTAATAAATACATACTGTCACACAACACAAGTTGCAACTATAAGACATTCCCAAGATACTGAGAGACCAAGAGGCTAGGATAATATGGGGACAATTATGTACATACATATATAAAAAGTCATATCTCTAGAAGGATTACATAAAAATAATACATAAAATAATTTAGCAGAGAGTTAAACGTAGCACAAAGCAAATATGCAATAAAAGCTAGCTTTCATTTTGTTGTCATGTAAAGTCTGCCCAAATCTGATGATTCCAGTTTACAGTTTGGTTGTATTGATCTATAGGGCTTTCTCACAAGCTCCTGAAAACTAAAGAAGGCAAGAAAAAAATGTTTAGAAATTATAAACTCATGATAGTGCAGATACTGCAGTTGATTCCATTTTGTCAGTTTACATCAAAGTGTATTTCTGTGATAATTTAATTTCTATAGAAATAACTTAGATGTAATTGTCATTAACCATAAGTTTTACAATATAAACTCATTATTAATATATACCAAAGTAGTAAAAAGAATCAAACTTGTGCATAGAACCTGAAAATACCACATAAAGCTTATGGGTTATTTATAAAATTTGTTAGGAAAAAAGTAGCTCAGTAACCCTGAGACTGCTGTAAGTGTGGAATATATACATATATATTTTTAAGGGATTGTACATTTTTAAAGGTGATTAATAAAATATTCTTGAAAATGTACCTTGAAGACTATATATTTTCACTATAGAAATTACTAGAAAAAAATGATTTTAAAACCTGCTGTTTTACTGATATAATTCATTCCAGTACAAATATATTAACTTTGAGAGAAAGGAAGAGATAATTTTCTTTACTGTATCTAGAATTTTCTTTACTGTATCTTTACTGTATCTAGAATTTTAGGAATACATGATTTTAGCCTTGGCCTTACAAAGTAGGTAGAGAGGATAGTTTTATTTGTATGCTTCTAGGTGTCCATTTCAGACTGTATACAGTTTAGTGGTGAACTGGGAGGTGCTCAAGGCCCCTTTCATCAGAGAACTCTCTGAGGAGGAGTATGACACCAGCCAGCCAAGCCCAAGGGTACAAGGAACATGTAATTACAGTGTGGCTTTGAAGCAGTGGTTCTTGCTTGGAGCCAATTTTGTCTGTTAGACATTCTGGGTTGTCGTGACGGGAGTGAGGGTGTGTGCTATTGGTATCTGGCGGGCAGAGGCCAGGGATGTGACTAAACATACTACAATTAACAGGACAGATTACCATGAAAAAAAATTATTTGGCTCAAAATGTCACTAGAGCCTAAGTTGAAAAACCCTGCTTTAAGCAATGATAAGAAGAAATCTGTATTGAGGCAACTCTTCTCTTGATATACTTTTCTTCTAGTTCCATCCTCTTTTTTTTTTTTTTTTTTTTTGCCATTGGCATGTTAAGATGTAATAATGGGTCAAGACAAACTTTTAGCAGGAATGGGCCAAGCAGGGTACTTAGGCCTGCCTTGTCTAGGCAAGTGTCACTCGTGCATCATGAGGTTTGGCTCAGTCCTGTTGGGCAGGGACTCCAAATAGGGCCAAAAGCCTTATTAAAGACATCACTCAGTAATAAATGGAGTAAATTTGACTGGAAAGACCCACCTGCAGACTTCTCATAATGGGTGGCTGTGGTAGGAAAATGGCTGCTGGTTTGGGATTCAGACTGGGTGACTAGTCCCTCTTTCCACTGAAGATATCCACTAATTCGCACCACACTTTGCTTCTTTATTTTAGTGCTTTCTTCATCATAACTTTTGTGCTTGAGGATGAAAAATCTAAAAGACCCCAACCATCTATGAAAAGCATTTTGCTCAGAAAAATTCTGCCACTGGCGATTTGAGATAAGGATCTCTGTGATTTATGTGTACAACTAAAATACTAACAATTCCAGAAATCTTAAAAAGAGTACATTCCATACATGTATTTGCAGGTACGGGATAGTCTGATTAAGAAGGAATTTAAGCAACTGTAGTATTTGAGATGTAATAGGAATGGAAACAAAAGAATTACTTTTGAGAATAAAAAAATAGAAAATATTCTCTTAGGTGCTGTTATAAATAAACATTTAGAGAGCATTTACTCGGTGCCAGGTATGTTTTCAAGAGATTTACATAAATTAACTCTCAGAACATTTAATTCTCAGAACAATCTCAGGAGACAGAGACTATTATTATTTTACCATTACCATTTCATATATGAGGAAACTGAGGGATAAAGAGTTTGAGTTATTTGTCCCAGTGACTTAGTGGAAAAGCTACAAGTATAACCCAAGTAATCAAGCCTCAGTACCTGTGCTTACCAATACTCTATTTGGTTTCATGTTAAGCATTAGAATTGCAAGAAAGAAAGATGTTTTTAGATAAAAGTCACATTATAACCCATAATGCAACTCAATTTCTTTTCTCTGTTTTTTTTTTTTTTTTGGTGAGTCGATAGTTAAAACTTCCCTTAACTCTATCTCTCTGGCACCCCCTGAACCATTCTAGTAAAATGATCGGAAAAATAAATATCAGATATGAGGACAGAACTATATGAAGAATATGTTCATCACATTTTTATTTGCAATAGGCAAAATAGTAGTCATTCTAAATAGCCAAATTACTGTAATAGGTAAGTTGGGCACATCTATATGATGAAAGATTGCGCAGTTATTAACATATCTACAAAGCTTTTAATGAGACTGTGAAACAATTTTTCTATGACATATAATATAATATAATATAATATAATATAATATAGTGTGAGCACAGAAAATATGTAGAGATAGCTATATTCCTTCAATAAAACTAGGTCATTGCCATACTTAAAATATACATGAATAAACTTCAAAGACCAAAACCAAATTCTGTTACAGCCAACAGTACAAATGTTTTAAGATGATCTCATCTTAAAAATCAAATAAAGCTGGGGGGGAGCAAGGTATAAGGGGACTAAATGGTAATGGAGAGAAATACAATCAAGATTAAACAAACAAAAAAAATCAAATAAAGAATCCAGCACTTGAAAAACATGTCAATAATACTCAGCTCTCATTTCCCGATATCTAGATGTGACTAAAAATAAAAAAGTCATAAAAAATAGTCTGCCTCAACTTAACGTTTCTCCATATGATCTCCCACTGTGAGGGCACAACAGTGAGCCATGGGTGCAGGCCTGCTGTCTCTGGGTGGGGGCTGGTGGGAGCCGTCTGCCCTGCAGAACTAGAACAAGGGAATGGGAGGTGGATCTGAAGCAGGAAGGACTCAGTTTTCTGGACAGGGACCTGTCTCCCTGAAATTCTTGGCTCCCTTTCCTTTTTGTAGGTGAAGTGGGTTTCCACTTATTATGCTTCCTCCCAGAAAAGTAACGTGCACAAGAGTCAACTGCAGGAAAATTTGTAATAAAAATTTACTCTGCTATTATGAAATGGTAAATAATAATTTTTAAATTATTTAAATTATTATTATGTTCTCTAGATCCATCCATGCTGTCATAAAGGGTAAAATTTTCTTCCTCTTTATGGCCAAGTAGTATTCCATTGTGTAAATGTACCATCATGCTAAGTGAAACAAGCTGGTCATGATTTCACTCATATGTGGAATCGAATGAGCAAAATAGAGCCAGCCTTCTAGATAGAGAGCAGGCTGACAGCTCTGGGGGGCTGAAGGTTGGAGAGTGGAGATGGAAGAGTGTATAAGGGGGATAAATGGTAATGCAAACAATACAATAAAAGATAAACTATTAAAATTATTACTAGTAGTAACACATTTTTAAAAGCTTAAGCATAGCAAAGCAACGTTTTGATCCTAGGAGTCATCCTAAGCACTGTTCAGTTATTGGCCTTGCATTTTGAA